CTGTTTATCCCACTAATTCTTAATACTCGTCTGGTGCACTTGATGGATCCCTAAGTCAACTTACTTAGGATCATCATATTTTTATGAGCCAAGAATCCAGTGAGTGCCCCTATGGGTTCCCAATCTAAGTTTCTCTTTGCCACAGCTGATATTCCATTTCTAGTCTGATGGTTCTGCCTCTAGGAAATGGGCCCACTGTCCCCCTTTATTTTCTCGCATTCGCTCCGTAGGGAATGGTCTCCCTGTTTTACCCGATCGCCATACATCAATTCATTTCAGTTTCCTCTTTGCGTAATTCCAATTATATGTTCCTTTTTACGCAAGGAACTCAAACACAAATCATGGCACCATACTGTCTCTAATTACTGCACCCACAGACCCGTTCTCTGATTTGGATCCTCAAATTGGCTCATCATCTGCTCCGTTTGAACACTGACCTCCCTGTATAATGGATGGTAAAATAAATGTACTTGGCTGTTCTTTGATGCCGGTGTTTGTCCTGGTGTCACCAATCAGTGTTACAAGGATCTGCTCACAGTGCCAAATTGTTGCAGTCTAAACAGTCACTTCTGAGTCTTGTGTTCTGCAAGTAAAGATTTATTTCAGCATGTGCTGGATGCATTTTTCACCTGGTTACCCAGGATTACTTCTTTCAGCAGTTTCTAACTCTCAACTGCAGGGCCCCCTCTTATCTCAATCTCAGCCTTGAGTCTGCTGGTTTCTATGGCAACCCAACCTTCAGTTGCCCCTCATTTCATTGGCCTGTGTAGCAATGGATAATTATTGCACTGAAATCAAGCCTAACTACAGCGAAGAATGTCATCCATTTTAATCTTTAACCGTATTAGGATGAAGCCCTTCTCCCTGCTGCACTGTGTTCCTAGCCAAGCTATTAGAAGCAGCAACAATTTTGGCAGCTACCCAACAAAATGAAAAGTTGCCCTGGTCTCTTGCACTGACAAGAGCAAGACGATTCCAATGCAGTCAATGACTACCCTATTATTGGTAACTGTCACCCTTCAGCATACTGAGGGAAATAACTCCATAGAGGCCAGGATTCCGTCACCAAGTCAGCCTTTATTTACATGTGCACAGTACATGACACTGACCCAGCTAGCTCCTAGAGTGAACAGCACTCCTGGCACTCCTGTTTGTATCTGTCAGCCGGGGCTCCCTGATTGGTTAACAGCCCCAATCAGGGAACTCATATTCTGTGAGGTCAACCTGGCAGACCTCGTTACAATCACTACATTGGCGGGAGGTGTTACCTACACTGCTAACATGTGACACTTTCTTTCTTCCTCCCAGAATAGAAACAAACCAGTCCAGGCCACCAGTTGTTGCTCATCCCTAATGGTCCTTGTGTAGGTGGCAGCAAGACATTACCTTGAACTGCTGCAGACCATTTGGTGTAGCTACACCTACAGTGCTGTTAGGAAGGGATCTGCAGGATTTTGACCCAGTGCCAGTGAAGGAACAATGAGAGAGTTCCAAGTCAGGATGGTTAGAGACTTGCAGGGGAACCTGCAGGTGATTATAGAGCTAAC